GCTAGTTGCCATTTTAGAGGGGGAACGTTCTCCTCCATGATTAGGACTATCGCACCGACTGAAAGGTTTGATTTGCTGGCACTCCACTTAGCTCGTTGTTGCAAGATCGTCAGATATTCTTTGCTCCATTTCTCCCAGAAAATCTGCAGTATGCGTGACACTCGCTGCCATCTGTCGAGCCGATTTAGATTAATTAGCGTAACATCAGGCTCAACAATGGGTGTGAGTGGAGCTCCAGTGAGAAAATGAGCCGGTGTTAATACTTCTATGTCATCCGGATTTTCTGAAAGTGGACATAAAGGTCGTGAATTAAAAATGGCTGATATTTGACAAGTTAATGTACGCAGCTCATCAAAGGTTAAAACTGAGAGGCCTACGGTGCGCTTGAAATGATACTTGGCAGACTTAATGGCTGCCTCCCACAGTCCACCAAAATGCGGAGAGCGGGGGGGGGGTATAAACTGCCAGTCAATTCCATCATTCAAACATTGATGCACAATTGCTTCGGTGTGTGAGCTGCTTTTGAACAAACGCAGTAATTCAGCCAACTCATTTTTGGCACCGACAAAGTTGGTCGCATTATAATTATCAGACCATATCGTTTTCGGTTTGCCACGCAGAGATACAAATCTATTCAATGCTGCGAGAAACGCTGAGGTAGACAACCAGCAACCAGGTCCATGTATATCGCCTTTGTTGCGAAACAAACGAATAAAGAAACGTAGCATTTTATCGGAGGCTTGTTACGGACCTCAGACTTGTAAAAGAATGGACCGCAAAAGTCCACTCCAGTGACTACAAATGCTCGATTAGCTTGCACTCTCTCCCGTGGAAGATTACCCATTATATGCTCTTGTAGCATAGGTTTCGCTCGAAAGCAGATGATGCATTTATTGACAATGCGGTTTACCGAACGCTTGCCACCTATGGGCCAATACTGCAGCCGTATTGAAGCGAGTAAAGATTGTGGCCCAGCATGAAGTAATATGCGATGATAATGAGCAATAACAGCATCCGTGAGAGGGTATTTTTTCGGTAAAATCATAGGGTGTTTCGATTCGAAGTCCAATGTTGAATTTTCTAGTCTTCCACCAACTCTAATTACGCCTTCCGAGTCCAAAAAGGG